TTTACTTGATTAGGGTGTCACCGTTCGGCAATCCAGCCGGGCGTGAAGTTAAAAAACACACTGGAATGCGGGCACTCGGCGGGTGGTGTACTATAATATGGGTTGCTAGCTAGCATACCAGCCCTAAAAATAAAAGAACGTTTCGTTAAAGTGAAACTTAATATCTTTAAAATTAAATATACTTTGCTTCCATATTCTGTCTGCTTGTTCTAATAATAATGTTAGTTTTCTGTAATTGTAAGATACAAGGTTTGTTCGAGAAATGTTCTTACATGTGGGTTATAACCCATAAAATAATGACGTTTTGAATATAACTATCTTTTCGGATTTTTTCGCGTATTTATTTAGATTTTTAGTTTCCGAGATTTCAAATACTTTATGGTAGATCGTGGTCACGAGAGAGACTCTCCCGAAAAGATAGTTTACTAAAATATATAGTTTTCAATATTTAAGGGACTTTTCTTCCATGTCCCATTCGTTCGTTCCAAGCTGTATAATACATAACTTGATGTAATATAACGTCTTCTGTGTATATAATAAAAAATTAACTAAGTCGAATCTATATTTGAAATGTTTTTTGGAATATCCTATTGAAATAGTCATTATTATCGATACACAGGCCAAATCTATAGTTTTAAGAATGTTTGCCTGTCTATCTTTCATAATAATTAATTTGGTATGACAAATTTAGTAGGATATCCGGGTCAAAATATAGGATACTTTTTACTGCGGGAAAATATCTCACCTCTGAGAAATGTATACTAAACGTTAAAATGTATACTAAACGTTAGTAGGGACAAACTCGAGGGGATCCAGGATGAGTCACTAGTCTCAGAATAAATGTTTAGTATACATGTCTATATAACCATTAAACTAATTTGATTCATTGAGTAACTAGTAAGACTGTTATTGAAGACAGTATCGTGAAATATACCAAAGCCAGACCACCCGACGTTTGAAAATTAATAGCATTTCCTGAGAACCGTGTACCGATAGCTACAGAACGTCGAAACTGTTAGCTCAGTACAAATGACCAAGTCGAATTGAACTGCATTGGGTGGTTTATTACTGCTGTCTAGAAAAATTTGTAGATTTTAACTTGTAAAGGATAAATGGAGGATGAGAGAGACTAGCGACTCACCTCGCTCTGCTCGGGTTCTACCCTACTTACGTTTTGAGGTTCAGTATAGATTTCTCAGAGATGAGATATTTTCCCGCAGTAAAAAGTATCCTATGCGTTGACCCGGATAACCAGCTATCACCATACCAAATTTCATCAAAATCTGTCCAGTTGTTTTCTCGTGATGCGTTCTCAGACAGACAAAAATTCTAAAAACTATAGATTCGGCATCTGTATCTGGGATAATAATGACTATTTCAATAAGATTTTCTAAGAAATATTTAATGTACAGATTCGACTCAGTTAGAATTTTATTATATACACTATGGATATGTAATGAATGTTGTTTTTGAAATAATGATTTAAAAATAAATTATATCATACATTTTAATACAATAATTTTTACTTTATTATAAATAGGATCTTTGTTTTTTCTATAATACTATGTAATATATGAGAATTTGTGATTTACTCTGGCTTCGTTCGAGTGCGTCCCTAGCTACTATTTAATTTTTCTAACGGAACCCTAATTTTTTTCTGAAATTAAAGTAACCTAAGTTACTCCCTATAACATCAGCGATCTGCCAGTGAAAACCCAGTCACAATCATTCCAGCTGTTTCGGAGTTTAGCCGGAATAAACAGACAGACGAACAAAAGAATTTAAAAATTATATTTTTCTTTTAAATTCCGTATATAATTTCATACAGCATTTAGTAAAAAGCTTTTATTTCTATATTACAAACAGACACTTCAATTTTATTTATCTATATAGATAACATGATATTATAATTCTATGACATAATGATTCAAGTAATGATAAAAAACAAACGATTGTAGAATTACATCATATCTAACAGTTTCTAAAAAAATCACCAATAAAATCCAACGTGAGCAAAGTCAAATAGATTGTATGTTTCACGCATGCTTGAAAGTCGCAATTTAAGCAATTTTTCCACCAAGTGTTTTTTTTTTATTTCCTGATCTATCTTTTTGCCTATCGTAAAGAGTATAACAGCTGTACTAAAAACATTTAATAACGCAAAATTAACATTAAAAATTATTATTAACATGAAAATTAATATTTAATAATATAAACATTCAATATTTTATAATGCTATAAGTACAAATGAAGGCTAACCTTAAAACAATATCCAAATAAGCACGTTTATTAAAGAGCTAAACGAAAATTTGAATATACCTAATGCTTATCTATACGTATAGATATATACCTACATATAATAAAATTCTAACTGAGTCGAATATGTACATTAAATGTATTGTATTCAGCCCTTTTTAACGTCCCACTGCTGGGCACGGGCCTCCCTTCAATGCGAGGGGGATCAGGCCTTAGTCCGCCATGCTGGCCAAGTGCGGGTTGGTGGACTTCACATGTCTTTCGAAAAATTGCTAAGTTTTCTCAGACATGCAGGTTTCCTCACGATGTTTTCCTTCACCGTAAGGCAAGTGGTAATCATGTTAGAAATGTTTAGCAAATCCGAAGATTCGAAGAAGAAGAGAACCGGGATTTGAACCCGCTTCACTCGGTTTCCCAGGCGAGCGCGTTACCACTGGGCTACCACTGCCTTAGTACATTAAATATTTTTTGGAAAATTCTATTGAAATAGTCATTATTATCGATACAAAAACCGAATCTATAGTTTTTAGAATTTTTGTCTGTCTGTCGGTCTGTGACCGCATCACGATTAAACCACTGGACAAATTTTGATGAAATTCGGGTCAGCATATACTTTTCTACGTAAAAATATGTCATCTCTGAGAAATCTATAATAAACATTATAAGTTAACATATAACAACGTTAATATACAAAAGCTAAATACCAATCACTGATTAATCACAATAGGAATAAATGTTACAAACTTTAAAATTGGCAAATATGGACATAACCGCTTAGAAAACATTATTTGAAACTCCAATTAAAGGAGAAAAGGGTTTGGAAATCTGGATCAAAATCTCTTAATTTTAAACTGTCTTTAATTGGACAAATGTTAGTTGTTATTATTTAAAAAAAGTTTAATATTAAAAAAAAACATTGAAAATAAGGTGATTATTGCACTAAAACAAAACAAGATTATTCTCACTTTAAATACAAAAATCAATACTTATTAAGTTTTTCATTACTATTCAAGAGACTCGAACACCGATAGATCTTGCTTATGATAAAAAACAAACAATTTACCTTCACGGCGATCTCAGTGCATAAATTAAGTCGATCTAGTATTAGGTATTCAGCTTTGCACTGTATTTTCTCATCCTATTCAGGCCGGATAGCGGAAGAATAGATAGCGGGACTAAAGAACGGATATATAACGGAGCTATTTACTAGCACTGTTGTTTTTGCTTCTATTACGGAATGTATTTAATTAATATTTATTACGGTAAAGGCAATCTTCTGCGATTATCAAGCAATCTGCATATCTGAGAGAACCTGTCTCGATGGTGGACTATAGCCTTATGTTCACATGGAAGAGAAGCCCGAGCCTAGTAGCCAAAAGGCTTGAACATGAACAAATCGTGGCTAATTCGTTCATAGGCTTGAATTACATACATACATACAATTTATAACATATTGCAAATTATATAAAACAAGATATTCATTAATATTTTTAAGCATTTTATACCTACTTAAGTGTATCATTGATAAGATGCATGTAATTGTTCTTTGTATACAAGAAATATAGTTATCGTATATTAAAACATACTATTATTATGATAAAGCTTAATTTTAATAATTTTAAAAATAAGAAAATTAAATCTTACAACAGTATAATCCTCGAGAATTTCTCGCAAATGTAAGTTAGAGCTCCGTAAAATCAGTTCCGCAGTATATTTTTTAGCTAGCAGTTCTTATAATGAGACAGTCGAGTAATGACAACCGGACAGTAAGAAGCGGTTATCCGGTTCCGGTGAACGCTTTACTTATCCGTACGGCTTGTTTTCAATTGCTTAACTTGGCTTTAAATTTTCATAATGTAATTCAAAATGTGCCTTTAAATACAATATTTGAATTCTATTTCTAAATGCTGATTAATATATTGTTTATTTAGCTCATATCATATATGGCTATGGGACATGGTATATGGTGGGCTGGGTTCGAGGCTCGAGTTAGACGTGAAGTCTACGAACGATCAAAATAAATTAAATAGATTTAATTAAAAGTGAAAAATGTATTTAATAGGTTTTTTATTTCATAACTGACAGCAGACAGTTGACCCGATAGACATATTATCCTTACAAAATTTCAATATTCATGATTTTCAAGGTTTTACAATGATTATTGTGTTGAAAAAATCACTTTTGATTTCTCCTAGATTTCCTAACTTTTCTAAAAAATGTCCATTATTAACTATTACGGAAAAAATACACATATGGATGTGGCTGTTCTTAAACAATGACCTTACCAATATACAGCATTCCATTTTTATTATACAAACGAGTGACTTACACTTCCGTTAGTGCTTCACTTTATCCCAAACAGTAGCTTATATGTTACTCCATCAATGTCTATTTCTATACAAATTTTCATCTAAATCTGTCCAGCCGTTTCAGCGTAAAGGAGTAACAAACACACACACTTTCACAACTATAATAGACTAGCGACTCATCCTCGCTTTGCTTGGGTTCGTCCCTAGATACGTTTTAACGGTTAGTATGGATATCCAACGGGAACCGTACATTTTTCCGAGATAAAAATGAACCAATGTACTATTTCAGACTGTTGTCTATCTCTGTGCCAAATTTCATCCAGATCTGTTCAGCCGTTCTGGCGTGATTGAGTAACAAACATCCATCCATCCAAACTTTCGCATTTATAATATTTATGGGATTATTTCTTAACAAATTGTTTCTTTGCAGCGCCAATGACGCAAGTGGTAGCGGTGGCGGGTGAGCCGGTGTACCTGCCATGTGACGTCGCAACGCAGGATGAAGATGACGCAGTACTACTTGTTCTGTGGTATAGAGAAGACTTGGGCACGCCTATATACAGGTGAGATATCGTATTCTAAGCCTTAATCGAAATTGTAGATGCTAAATATTATCGATATATGCATTTACTGTCTTGTTAGGTTTCTGTTTCTATATTGTTGGCGAGTTAAATTTTATAGCTAATGGTAATTGCTTGTTATATCGGAAATGTATTTTTGTTAAAATTATTATAGTTGTTTTTTTACTAAGTAATACTTTAGGCACCATTGTGGTAAACATATAATATCTACGTCTTCCATAATAATAGTGTGTAAGAAATTCGTTTAGTAAATGATAAGACCTTTACATATTTTCTTCATAGTTATAAGTTATTAATATGTTATAAATTCATATGAGCAAAAAATTAATACTAATAAAAAATATTACTGAATTAACATTGTTTTGCGCAACTGGCTAATTGAATTGATAGTATTTTCGCTATTAACAAATATTAAAAACAAAACAGTCATGAGGACTACCGACAAATGTGAAAACTTAAAACTATAAACAAACAGTTGTTATTTTTGAATATTCAAATTAATTGTTTGATCTTAAAGTAAATTTCTAAATTAAAACTGTTTACATTTATCTGGTTTTGACATCGGCACTCTGAGTTTTATCATTAACACGTCACGTGACCATGGCGATGACGACTTACACGTAATGAATTTACTCCCCATCCAAACCTGCCTATAGAAGTTTTCACTTAAAAAAATATCTATACATAATACATATTAGTTTTTAAAGACGATTTTAATTAAACTTTTGTATCATTTTAAAATATATAACGTAAACAAATACTATAGAAATGAAAAAAAAATACAACAAAAACTCTCTTTATTAAGAAACCCTCCAATAATGGTATATTTCCCAAAAATCCTCTTACATCCCATCTCCGATCTATACCATCTTAAACATCTTACTCTAACTGTAACATTAATAAAGACTTTCAGTATGTTATTTCACACCACGCCTTTTGCTCCACGTGACATGTTCTTATGATTTAATTTGTCACGACTTTTTGAAGTATTATTTTACTCGAGGGCGTGAGATAATGTCGCTTAGTGTATGTTTCGACAAATACATATTATAGCTATATATTTTCTTAAATTTAAGTAAAAAATATGAAGTATCGTCTTTACATTTATAAGCTAGCAGCTAGCCACGGGTTTGTCCGCTTTATTTTTTATTTTGAAAAGCTTAAAATACGATTCTAAAATGCTTCATGGTGAAGTATCTTAGAGACAATTTAAGGTAAATTGATAAGCGCTTGAAATGCTTTACTAGTTTTCTATATTAAACAAATATGATAATATAAAGATCGATGATAAGTTAGCATAAGTTAACACTTATCCTCTGAGTTTATATATATATATACTGAGAATATATTTTTTCCTATAAGTACGTCTTTCGTTGATGCATTGGACTTGTGAAATGCTGAAACTAGTATATATGTTCGAATTTTTTATTCACACGAGTATTTATAATGTATATATCGAAAACTTAATAAAGCAAAATCATAATTTATTATACATTATGTTTATTTAGTAAAATATATTACTTGTTTAATAAAGCAAATAATTAATGTATTCTTCCATATAAATATTAAAATGGAGTGATCTGTTTATTATATTTCGCAATTACGGTATTTCTTTGAAGATTTTAATTGAATTCTGATCAAAGTATGTCGACTTCCAAAAATAAGTAAACACGATATTTATTTTAAAATATAACAAAATAAAATTATTATTTAAAACAAGCGGCTTAACTCGCTTTATCCTAGGCTTTTGCCTTATATAGAAAATGAGGGTGTCTCCAGGTAGCTTATTAGTTTAATACAAACCCATCCAGCCGTTTTAGTATGAAGAAGTTCATACTAATATTATAAACAAGAAAGTGTGTTTGTTTGTTTGTCCTTCTTTCACGTCGAAACGGAGTAACGGACTGGCATATTTTTTGTATGGAGGTACTTAGAGGGCTGGAGAGCAACATAGGCAACTTTTTACCGCGGGAGAATACCTCTTTTCCACGGGAAAACACGTTATTATGTATAATAACGTGTTTGGGTGTTATTTGGGTTGTAACCCAAAAAATATTTATGATCCGAATTACTTGGAACTTGGTATAAATGTTCTTCAATACAATTAAATAAAAACATGTTTTAGAATTTAATCGAAATTCATCCCATAAGGGGGTAAATAGAGGATGAAAGTTTGTACGAAACCTATCTTTTTAGAGTTTTTTTATAGTTTTAACGCGAACGAAGTCGTGGGTTCTGGTAGTAGTTTATAATAAATCGTTGATACGGTTATTTTGCTATAATTTTATGTATTTTTTTTGTATAGCGTGGACGCAAGGGAGAAGGACTTCGGTGTTGCAGAACGATGGTCCGATGAAAGTGTTTTTGCCTCAAGAGCCTATTTTCTACCCGAAAGAAGACCAGCGGAACTGGGTGTGGATAGAGTCAGGGCGACTGACCAAGGAATATATAGATGTAGGGTAGACTTTAAACAGGCGCAAACTAGAAATTCAAGAGTTAACCTTACAGTTATTGGTAAGTGTTCTTTCAGTTTTTTAACTCTTTAATTAAATAATTTTTTAAATATGTTCGGACATTAACAACAGCACCATCTAGCACCATCCATGGTAAGCTATAAGGCTAGTGTTATGGATACCAGATAGTTGATACACTACACATGTATAATTTTAAATATATCACCCTTGACTGGAGTACAAACATTCGTGCTCATCATGCAAATGAATGCCCCCAGCGGGACTCGAAACCGCGATCACTAGCAGAGCGATAAGGTTCACTACTATACACTAACACTAATCACGATCTAATATTCAGTATTAGATCCCCAAAAAATTCTTAGAACGTAGAGAGCATTGTATTGCTCCGTTTTAATCACTTTATACCATGTTAAACTAGCGAATTTCACTCGCTTTCTTTAAGTGCATATCTAGATACCTTTTTTTTTAACGTTGGAAAATGCATTTACGCACGAGGTGTGGGACTCACCGGCAAAGCCAGTACTACCCACTAAAACCCAACAAAACCTTCCCCCGTCTCAATGGGGCGTCGCAGGATCGCTTACGCATTCAACTACGACGCCCCGACGGCAGGTCTGCCGAAGCAGACCACAACAACCACGGGGTTGCTCCACAGTCCACTCTGCTATCAGAGAAGTACCAGGAGCAACCCGCATGGTACACTGGCCTCCGAAGAGGGCCACCTCCCACTGCCCACCGAAGTGGGCCACCTCCCTGTGCGTTTCTTGGCTTCGCGCCCGGTTGGGTTGCCGGGCACTACTGAGCCCCCCCACCACGACAAGGTGAACGCACGTTGGAGGGGGGGGGGGCATATCTAGATACCTAATAGTAACATATGTAACTCCAAATCATAATCTGTCGGTGTAATAAATTTCATCCAAATTTGTCCACCAATTTCAGCGTGAACGAGTAACAAACATGCACAGATACAAACCTTCAAATTTATAAAAGCAGTCAGGTTAACGTTTTTGTTGACTTTATAAAAAGTATATACTATAAATCTTGTTCTGGAATAGAAACTGTATCTTTGCAAGAAATCAAATACGTAAATGCGTTGCAGAGCAAAAGACGAACAGGCAAACAAACACACTTTCGCCTTATAATATTATTAAGGATGTCAAAGGAAGGTCTACCGAGTAGCTAAATTGTCATGGGAGCCATTACAGCGGATTTCAAATGAAAATCTCTTCTAAATATTTTATTACAGGCTACAAATAAATCAAGTGGTTTCTAAATTATTACATTTTAAATGTTCCTTTAGAAAGTTTCATACTTATTATGTATACCTTTTTGGTTATATGACGAGTGTAATAATGATTAAAATTAAAATAATGTCTTTATAGAGGTAAAGTTTGATTAATTATTTTTATCTAATTTATCTTTAAAACGTCGTATTTACTTTAGATTAAATAATAATGATGATGAATTCTATATGTTGACCTGGATAGCAAGCTATTACCATATCAAATTTTATCAAAATCTGTCCAGTGGTTTTCTCGTAATGCGTTCCCAGACAGACAGATAAAAAATCTAAAAACTATAGATTCGGTCTCTGTATAAATAATAACGACTATTTCAACAACATTTTCAAAAATATTTAATGTACAGATTCGACTCAGTTAGAATTTTATTATATGTATAGAAAAGTGTTCGTATGTTTGTCCTCTATGCAAAATCAATATGAAAATCTGATATATTATTCTGTATTATATATATGCCTGCGAAGTTTTCTAGGGCAAAAAAAGGTTTTTTTTCTTTGGAAACTCTTCACTTCTCAATACTTTCTTAACTCTTTGCAATCTTAAAAAGAAGCAAAGGTAAGCCACTAGAAAATTATAAAGTGAAATGATTTTAGTAAGATATTTTTAGGAAATGTAAAAGTTGCAGTAATTAGTAAATATAATATAATTGAAGATTATTTATACAAAAAGACAAAATACAAAATCCCCTTTTGTATAACATACTTAAATGGACTTGTTTCCTGAAAACTATAAACTTAACAAGCCACTATGTATTGCCATGGTAATGTAATGCATATTATATTACCGTGGTATTGCCATCAAACACTCTATGATTTAATATTAAGAGGAAAATGACGTAAAAGCTAATGTAACTACCATTCACTATTTACAAAGAGGATCACTATTGGAGACTGTAATTTTTTTTTCTTTTATTTAGAATATTATTAAAAGCATTTCATGTTACTATACAGCTATTAGCCGTAACAATTACTTCCGGCCACTTCCACAGAATTCGATGAAACGAACATAATTTCAGTAAAAATGCTAGAAACGTGGATGCTACAATTTTATAAAAGCCTCGATCCGGATCCAATTTATTTTAATTCAATTCAAATTGAGGGAAAATACACACGAGGCATGATGTACGAAAAAAAGATTACATTCAAAATATATTTTGTTGCAATACCAATAAAGGCGAGAATGTATTGGAAATTTGTACAAAAAATTAACATGATATAAATCCAACCTCTAAATCCGTTTTGTGGAAAAACTGCGGTTGATTCTATGGAGCTATCGACAAGCTGAAACCTGACAGTAATCCAGTGTCAGAGCGTGTAATACGATAATAAGTAAGGGGGGTTTTTTTACGCTATGCGGCTTCTCGCCTTCCTGTCATGCTTATAATAACTACCAATTACATTTTATTTTACAATTCAATATATTTTTATTTATACAAACAAATAAAATTAAAGTGTCTGTTTGTAATGTCAAAATAATAGCGTTTCACTAAATGCATTTTAAAAGTATGTACGGTACCTATAAGAAAAGAAAATCTTTTTTTAATTTTTGTCTGTCTCTTTGTTCCGGCTAACCTCCGAAGCGGCTGGCTCGATTTTGACGGGACTTTCACTGGTAGATGTTAAAAGGATTTATTTTAGAATCGTTTCTCTAAAAAAAAATTAGGGTTCTGCGCAACAAAATTAAAACTCATGTAATGGTAAACATAAGCGAGGGTAAATCGCTAGTATCCTATAAAAGTATTGCTAGAAATAAATGAACTCGTGCTTACTTAAAGCATTGGTCGTTCATGACAAAGTGTATATTATTTCGAAAATTTAAAGGTAGTTTTAATAGTAATTTGTTATAGTTATTCTATTCAGCATATTTTTAAATGGACTAGGTAGTATCAAAGGAACCCACAAAAGGTGTAATAAATCGCGAACCACTTCATTTGTAGCTTTTAATAAAATATTTAAAAGAGAAATTTTTGCTAAAGCACAGTAATGCCTCCCATGGTCTTACTTTCATCAAAATCGTAATGGGTTTTCCTCTTAAACAAACTTGAATGTTTGATCTAAGACAAAGTGGCAAGAATTTTGTGTGGAATATTCCCTTTAAAGCAAAAATTGGTAGAAGCATCTAACATTATGTTCCAGAATTTATATATATGGCTCCAATAATATACTCGAGTTTACTCCCACGGTCTATAATGTATATCAGAGAGAAGTGCACTCGACTCCAAGGAATAAGATTATATTTAGAGCTTTCTGCACAGTCACATAAGAGATTTATCGTATGGCAGAAAAGAGTACTCTCACTGTTATTGAGTGTCGCAAGCTTTGTTATAGTTCAAACATCTCTAAGAAAAAAATCTTTGTAATTTTGCGTATGATATTTCAATAAGGGTTTTACGGATTTTTGACTTGCCACAACATAATATTGAGCAAAATGTCTTAAAACTGAGATAGAAAACAGTTTTTTTTTGTTTTTTTTTTTTGTTTGTATCTCAAAATCTATACTACTCTAATAAAAATCCGGGTTGAATCTGTATATTAAATATTTTTTAGAAAATCTTATTGAAATAGTCATTATTATCTATACAGAGGCCGAATCTACAATTTTAGATTTTTTGTCTATCTATCTATCTGTCTGTTTGTCTGTCTAGGAAAGCATGACAAGAAAACCACAAGACAGATTTTGATGAAATTGGTATGATGACAGCTGGTTATCCGGGTCTAGATGAGGATCCTTTTTATTGTGGGAAAGTATCTCATCTCTGAGAAATCTATACGAAACGTTCAAAGGTAACTAGGGACGAACCCGAGTGGAACGAGGGTGAATCGCTAGTACCTAAATATATTACGAAGAAACACATTTTTGATTATTTCATATATGTTATTTTAATCATCATCGAAACAAATAACACTCACTTTGACCCTTTGTATTGTCAATAAGAGTGAAAAGCAAATATTTGAAGCCGGATTCCATTAAGTACTCGGTACCCTCTCCTGTCTAAGTGGTTCAGTGACGCAAGTATTACAGCTTCTATCTTCAAAATATATCTTGGTCGGATGAATCAAATCGCAGATGACTTTTAATAATAATCAAAGAGCAAATATAAAGCAAAATAATTTGTAAATTGCCTAAAAATGAAGTAAAAATCTGCGAATGTTTTTATCTAACTTCAGTTTATCTCTTTTCTTTGGTAAAATGCCAAAAGGGGTTTCTTAGACTCCGTAGCTAACAGACGACATTTTTAGTTAGAATATTCTACAAAATTACCCTTGCCAAGTTAAAACATGAAAAAACTGAATTTACTGGCTACTTTTAGCTGCATTCAAGCGGGGTTTAGACGAGCCGAACTTTAAATATTTAAGTTAATGTAGAATTTATATTAGAATATAGGACTGTTTTTGGTAGTGAGGTGAGTTAACTAATTTTAGTACTTAAATATTTTTAAAAGTATGAAAATGGAATCAATTATTATAATAAAATCTGAGTCAAATCTGTACATTAAATATTTTTTGGAAAATCTTATTGAAATAGTCATTATTATCGATACAGAGGCTGAATCTGTAGTTTTTAGATCTTTTTGTCTATGTGTCTGTCTGTATGTCTGGGAACGCATCACGAGAAAACCACTGGACAGATTTTGATGAAATTTGAAGAATACTTTTTACTGCGGGAAATATCTCATCTCTGAGAAAAAAATAATTAAGTTATCTCTTTCATACTTACAACTGTTACAAAATGTATGCAATAATTTTATATTGTACTAAAAGAGAGTAAAAAGATATTTTAAAGCTATTGAATAACGTATTGCTGTTGCTATTTATAATTATATATCGTACTTAGTCAAAAAGTTACTTTACCTTCATCTCTGGTACATAAATAAGAATTATTCATTGGAACAAAACATTCGCTAATTCAAAACCCATTAATTTAAAAAATAAAAATCTTAAGAAAATATTTTTAACTGACTTGGAAGAGGAAGAGGTCATCAATTAGCCTGAATATTTACAGAACCAATAAACGGTACAGATTGGTCAGTTAAATTAACCTAAGTATAAACGTAGTTTAGTTTACGTTACATTGTTCAGAAAAGCAGCATACGCTAACGAGTATTTATTATAAACTACTGATAATAGTATCTCAGAAACTGGGCATCAGATGTGCAGGTTTTCTAACGATATTCTGCTTCACAGTAAGACAAGTGGTAATCATGAAAAAAAATTATATTATATGATTCATTTATATGCATGTACTCGTATATGCCGAAATTTTTAAAATTTTTATACTTGTATAAGGCAGAATTTTATTACTTAAAATAAGTTTTATGCCGTGTCAACACATAAAATGTGGACCACTTATAATATTTTATCATACGGCATCTCCCCTAAGAGCGCCCTTGAGCACTCTTCCATTACTGTAACAAACTATTCTACTCAAGCCTTCCAAAAGATATCAACAAAATTACCTACTATTGAAAAAGTTTTAACTTAGTTTTGATGAAAGTTTCAGACCTATAATGGAATTAGTATACTTAAAGTCCTTTTTAAAACCTTGTTATACCGTTTCTTAGACTTTGAACTTTATTTATTTTATAAGAACAAGCAATGAAGCGAAAATGAATATTATTGTATGTGTTTTTTTTTCACATTTTCACAGTATTTTGTGCAGGATCTTATACGGACTATTTAATCTAAGTGTTTGTCATCAGTTTTTATTTAATATTATGAATATTTAAAATACGTACTATTAGATATTTAAGATAATTACGAAATGTAGTATTTTATCCTTTTTGAAATGCTTTTACGAACGAGGTGTGCCAGGGGCTCAGCGGCAAAGCCAGTACTACCCACTAAAACCCAACGGAACCTCCCCCGTCTTAATGGGTGTCGCAGGATCGCTTACGTACTCAACCACGACGTCCCGACGGCAGGTCTGCTGAATCACAACAGCCATGAGGTTGCTCCGACGGTCCACACTTCTATCAGAGAAGTACCAGGAGCAATCCGCATGGCAAACCGCCCACCGAGGTGGACCGCCTGTGCGTTTCTTGGCTTCGCCCCCGGTTGTATTACCAGGCACTACTATGCCCCCCCACCACGACAAGGTGAACGTAGGTTGGGGGTTAGTGTTTTATTCTACATTATCTTCGGAACTACAAAAAGCCGCTAGTTATTAATTAATTTTAGTGATTAACAAAATCTTATTTATATACTTGTCTTGTGTTGTTATTATCGACTACTAATTATTGCATAAAACATTATTGGTACCTAAATCCTACGACATTGAGTGAAGATGCAATATACTTAATTAAAATACTTTTTATTGAGTTACAGTGTCTATGTATTGCACTCTGGATAACTATACTTCCATAATATAGTACAACTAATAAGTAATTACTGGTTCATAATTTATAATATTTTTTGCAGTTCCGCCAAACAAAATGGTTATAACAGACGATAAGGGAGACGTGAAGCAAGCTATAGTGGGGCCATACGTGGAAGGTGATACTTTCACGCTCAAATGCGATGTGTTCGGAGGTAATATTATATGTTAATATTAGTTATTAAATTTAATACTTTGAACTACTTTGAATATTTGACATTTTAAATAAAACTTTCTTTTCGGTTTTTTTTCGCTGATTTATTTTAATTTTTGGTTCCCGACGTTTCAAATGTATTACAGCAGTCATAGACAGTCTCTACCGTGACCAAGATTGCTATCTCTGTAAATCAAAATAAATCCGCAAAAAATCAGAAAGGATAGTTTTATTTAAAATACAAATTTATTTTTGTTACATGTTATGTTGTATAATAACAAATTTAGTATCGTAAAAATACTCGTAGAGTTCTGAAAAATGATTCTAAGCATGTACATATTTTTTTAACTAAAAAATTATCAATCTTTGTAAAGACACTTAACTTTTAACTATTTTAGGTCGGCCTCGACCATGGGTTAAATGGTTTAAGAATGAAGTGGAAACAGATACTCCGGCTACGACGTTACAAGGCAGCGGTGTTAGGGGCGTGCTAAGGGTAGGCCCTCTGACCCGAGCCGATGTCAGAGCCACCCTGACATGCAGGGCTTCTAATCATTTGAGGGCACATCCTATTGAAACTACACTCACTTTAGACATGAATTGTAAGTTCGCTTAATTATATTAATGTTTTACGTTTTGTTAAAGTTGTGTTATCCATACTTACTTAATCTTGTAAATGTAAAAGTGTGCTTGTTTGTTTATTTGTTTGTCCTTTTTTCACATCGAAACAGAGTGACGGATTGGCATCATTTTTTGTGTGGCGATAGTTGGAGGATTGGAAAGTAACATAGGCTACTTTTTACCGCGGGAGATTATCTCGTTCAATACAACCCAGAAAATATTTATGATCAGAATTACTAGAAACTTGTTTTACGCATTTTTCGAAATTCATCCCATAAGGGGGTAAAATAGGGGATGAAAGTATGTATGGAACCCACCTTTTTGTTTTTTTTTTTACTTTTAGCGCGAGCGACAATACACAACAATAGGAAATTGACGGTTAAATGTGATTTGGAATTTTAAGTACACTTTTAAGTGGCTTTCAAGTCGGTGTAACCGTTTTAATTAAAAATCTAAATGAACAAATTAAAGAGATAAAGAAATTGCTAAAAAGTTTTAATTTGTAGTTTACTTTACTGATTATAATTGAAGTGGAAAAGAGAATAAAATTCAACATTTCAACTTTTTTAAGCTTCATAAGTAAATCCAAATAGATTGTCATGAAAAGATATTTTCCACTTTCCTGATGTTCTTATTGTTCTTATACACAAATATAGACATTAGTTAGGTATGTATTTTCTCAATAAATCGTTTACATAGAAACAAATAAGGAAACAGAACTAACTACTTTTCAACCGACTTCAAAAAGGAGGAGGTTCTCAATTCGACTGTTTTTTTTTATGTTTGTTACCTCAGAACTCCGTCATTTATTAACCGATTTGGACAATTTTTGTGTTGTATGAAAGTGTATACTTCCAGATTGGTCCCATTTAAATTTCAAAAAAAAATACCACCCCTAAGGGTGACACCGACTTTGAAAATATTTGATTAGGTATGTATAGTATATGAAAACTACCAATCAGTTATTTTTTACTTTTTAGTGCTTTTGTTTGAAGTCGGTTTTTATTTTTTGTTAAAAAGTTTTTATTAAAATCAATATATATGAATAATTTTTGTTATTGCGGGAAAACATCTCATTTCTGAGAAGAAATACAAAAACTGCATTGTAAGAGTATACTAATATGTAAAACCTAAGAATTTGGTTTTTGGTCATGTGAACGCGGGCGAAGCCGCGGACAATGCTAGTTAATACTATAAACGTGCTACTCAATCACGCTAAAACAGCTGAACGGATCTGGATGAAATTTAACACAGAGATAGACTATAGTTTGGAATAGCATATAAGCTACTTTTTATTTCAGAAAAATATACGGTTTCCGTGGGATAGATTTGATTTTGGCTTTCTAGAGGCGAGCCCAAGCGAAACGAGCGTGAACCGCTAGGAACAGATAATATTTAGTAGAAGCTACGCTAAAGCTACGCTAAAGCTACTTGTAAATGTTATAGTTATCTCCTAAGCTACAAAGCAGAATCTTGTTACCATAATATTTAACTACAAGCTAACAACTTCGATCATTTTCAAGTTAACCATCGTCCATCAGTGACCTGCATATCTAACTTCCAAGATTTTGACTCATTGTAAACAAGACCTGTCAACTTGCCTTGTTAGAAAGTCTGAACAATCTATCTTCTTAAATAGAAATCTATCTATATTAATATTGATGTTTGTTGATAAGTGCATCACTAAGAATGGCTGGACCGATTAGGCTGATTATTTCTTAATTTAGATATTACGTGAAAAATTTGCCAAAAAAATACGAAAATTTGGATAAAATGGATAGAGCATATTTTATATAAGATTTTTGTATGAACCCAAAGATCACAAATTGTTGTATTTTAGGTAGGGTCAGGTAGTCTCTAAATATAATTTTGAGCATGTTACTTAAGGCATAGTGCACAGCTCTAGACAAAACAAGCAGATATAAAATCTTATACTACACGTATATATGAAAATTCAATATATACTCGTAGAATAATAAGACAGCATCATTATTTTGTCCTTTAATTTGTACGTTAACATATAAAATACGCTATTTTAATAGTTTTTTAATAATTTAGAATACTTATTCTGGAAGGTTTATATTAAATACAAAAACAAATATATCCCACGGGAACCGTACATTTTTCCGAGACAAAAATTAACCTATGTGTATTTCAGACTATTATCTATCTCTGTGCCAAATTTCATCCAGATCTGTACAGCAGTTCTAACAAACATTCATCCATCCAAAGTTTCGCATTTATATGGGAATAATGTCATTCGTTATTAAACGAACCACAAGTGTGATTATGTAAACTATATATTTTCTATTATAATATTAAGTAAAATGATTAAATATTATTTTATTTAAAAAAAATAATCGTTTTAACTTAATATTTATATATAGACCAAATTATGATTTAAAAATAACATATTATAAAACTAATATATGAATGAAACCAATTTTATTTTCTCTAAACACTATACAGTTGCAAAGTTCTGAGATAAAATTAGCTTTCATGATTGATATATAGTGGTATATCAAATTCTTCTCTTTTAGTTCCGCCTTTAAACGTTCATATACTTGGATCGAATCAGCCTTTATCAGCGAGTAGAAGATATGATCTGCTATGCCAAAGCTCTGGGTCACGTCCGCCCGCTTCCATCACCTGGTGGAAAAACGGACATAGGATAAACAACGCTAAAGAAACGGTAAGTAGGTCCAATTTGACTTAGCAAAATATAATTAACTACTGTGTAAAGCGATTAGTCGACCAACTTGTTGGTAGATTTAGTTATCTAGCATATTCAGTGTGTAGGAATTTTTTTAACCAACTAGTTTGGGTTTCGATCGAGTAATTTTTGGGTACTAAGTATATAATAGTAAATGTAAGTAAAATAATTTTGGATATCAATTAAAAATTGAAAATTCTAATTATCACCACTCAATCTACAGGTTCTTCGTGTTATTGGCTTTTTAATGAGATTTATTGTTGATTTAGTCTCGTTTCTAAATCTTGATTGGATTTTAACAACAATAATATCTCTTTATATACATGCTCAAAGCATGTCTTCTATTAGTTTGATATTAAATTAAATTTTATGGTTAAATTTTATGGTAGCTTCCTCACGGACTGATTATACTGACGTTCTAAATTAGCGATTTAAAATTGCTTGTAATAAGCTTGTTTGAATAAAACTTCATTTAAACATAAATATCTTACAAAATTATTGTATGCAAAAATTTTTGTACTTTAAAATATTAATTATCTAAATCTCCATGGTAAGAAAAGGAAATTTTGTACGCGGAAAACCAGTATAAAGCGACCATTGTCATGCCTAATCAATTCCTAACTTTGAAAGACAAAGCTAATTTCGCGCCAACTGAATTTATCGAGACGCTCGTAATCTTTATTGCCATAAGAAACAACATCGCGAAGTCAACTTAAAATAAGGGCACGTAGATGTAATAAATGTAGATTGAATGGAGGAAACAGCGCCTTGGGCGTTCTCAAATCGGTCGTAAGGACGGGTCCGTTGAGTGCAGGCAATGGAAAATTTGGTACCCTATCAGATAAAGCATGCAATTATATTTGATTCGAAACTAAAATGTAAAGAGTCTACTTATTAAATTTAGTTTTTACATGCAATACGTTCGTTAACACACGATATTTGTTTAAGTGATTTATAGTTTTTGTACGTTCATTCTAATTTATGTACATTATACACACGATTTCTAAGATTTTGTGATTAAATTATTTGCATTTTACAATGAAAAATAAAATATTTTATTTACAGGATGCTTATTTTGCTATTATTACCTTACAAAGTAAAAAGGGTCTGATAAAATGTTTTTTTCTTCAATACAACATGCACCTATACATTCGTATTTCTGTGTCTGGTTCTCATATCTTAACTTTAATTGGACAAATCGGTTAGTAACAAATACTTGCCTTAGCCGGTTTAAAACCTGCAACCTTCTGCCTATAAAGCAATGTCCATACACTTGCCACCGGACATAGAATATATAATTTTAATGTTAAAGCTATGTAATTTATGAGGCGTACCTACATGATTTAATTTCACCACACGGTACGAGTCAGTTGTATGATTAAATCGTTGTTTTATGAATCCTAGTTTTTAGTTTTTCTGTGAAAAAATATGACATTAACGTAAAAACAAGCTACAAAAAATATAATAAGACAAAAGAAACAAATAAATATTATAATAATTTATTATAATACCATTGTGACGCAGTAGTCGCAATTGGGACCTACTGTCTATGGCGATTAGATTACGTATTCATTTTTCGGACTGGGTCAATTTTCGTATTGATTTTATAGGAAGTAGCGTAGCATTTTTAGAGAATTTTAGAACACTTTGATGTTAAATACTTAAAAAAAAGTAAAAGTTACCGTCAACTAACGCGCCCGCGATGAACAGCGCGCAGCATGTTTACGACGCGGGCTCACGATTTTTTCTTCTTTAAAAAAGATGATTATACATGTATATAGAAATATTGACTTCTTTATGTTATAAAAAAAAATAAAAGTCAGCTCTCTAAATTTCATTCATATAAAATGGCTTTAGACTTTAAAAAATATTCGTATATTTCATATACCTCCGTGACTGACACTGAGAAACAATCGGCTCTCTTCAATGAACCTCAAATACTATTTTTTAAAAGAATTTTCTGAATTTTGCCACAGTATAAAAATAAACAAAGAACAAAGCCAAATTTTCTCTCCAAAATTTTCACATACTGACGCCTTTGACTGCATTGCTTTTTAAATACCTGACGTTCAGAGCTCCAATATTCTAGAGAAAAACTATTATTATCTGTTGTATAAAATGATTAAGTAAAAAGCTACGCTATCTCCTGGACTATGTAGGTGACATATTTATCATGATTCCGTTAGACAAGAACGGTTATTAAGCTGTATGCATGGAGTATTATAATAAGGTATTGTTTTGTTAATATATTCGATAGCTCACTCAAAGGCAGCTTAGCACAAATATTTAACCCAAATGAAGACCCTACACCATATATTGATTAATTCCTAGTAATCAATTTGATGGTTTAATTAAATTGCGTTCATTAAACTAATTAATTTTAACGAGAATAGATTAAATTCGTACTTTAATGAGAAAGGTTTCAAATTTATTATTTCTCTTTGTTGGAGCATTGAGAGCCTCTTCATTAGGTTTAAAAGAGCAAGAATGTAATTGCAAGAACCTATCACTGACATCGTTGTAATGAAAATTACATTTAGAATTTTCATCATGTTTCAAGCTTTCGTTATTTACTTCTATGTCATGCACCACATGTAAATTTCATAATATTATATTAATTTTAATTTCAGTAAGCCGAATAAAAATTGATGTGAAACTTTTGCCTTATATTGCTTTTACTGATATGTTACTTTTATTAAGATTAATGCATATTTCGCAGATTTTATACTCAGTCTTTTTCTTTTTTAACCGACGTAAAAGGAGGATGTAAGATTTTTAATTAAAAAAATAGATATTATTACACTTATTTTAGAAAATGTCATAGATTGTATTCTTCTATAATATCGAAAACCCGACTGCGTTAAAAGCGAACTAAAAAGATGAAAACTTAGGAACATAGTATTACGCAGCCAAAGACATACAATACGTCACAAGGGTTATGTCACATACTTCTGGCGCACTCGGGTAAAAATATGGCTATATATATTTTGTATTGAACTACGAAAACCATCGCAATAAATATCGTTAGAATATATGTCTATTGATTTACCTTAAGTAAATACGATGATTAAAACTTTATTAGCCTACATAGCTGGCCTCGATAGAATTTGGTTGTGGACGCTATAAATATTTAATTATGTGAAATAAAGACTCCTAAACAGAAGATATTTTAATAGATACGAATCTGACTTTCACGGTGATGTAATGGAGATCGAATTTTCCAGCGCTTTATTATAACAAAATTGAGAATTTTGCTCAAAATTATTATTAAATAAATATTATAAAGAGGCTGAGTTTGTTTGTTTGAACGCACTAATCTCAAGAATAACTTATCCGATTTGAAAAATTATTTTTGTGTTAGCCCGTTTATTGATTCTATCTATTCCATACTAACCGTTAAAACATACATAGGGACGAACCCGAGCGAAGCGAGAATGAGTCGCTAGTTGTTAAATCAGTTTCCACACTGAAGATTATAGGTTCAGGTCCTACTCGTTATACTAGCCATAAAAATATTTTTCATAGAAAATGATTTCGACGTGCTGTGTTTTTACAAACTCTTGATATAGGAAGCCTATAATTGCATGAGTATTGCAAAATAAAAATAAAAGCTTTAATACACTGTATTCTTTAACGTTTATATTTACTAACATATCACTTTTGTAACAGCTTTCAACAGATGGTAACACGACGACATCTACAGTGTCCATACAGTTGACGAAAGCTGATGCCGGTGCGAAGCTCGCATGTAGAGCTTCAAATCCTCAGATGGCGTCAATGCCAGCGTTAGAAGATGACTGGATATTAGATATACAATGTAAGTAAAAAAATAATATTGTAAACATGAAAGCTCTTGCTTTGTTAAGTGCGTTTGTTCTTTCTTTACGTTACATTGTGTGTAAGCTTTTTATCCAAAGTACGTATTACGTAAAATCAAAGTTTTAAAGAGCTTGGAAAACACACTAGTTAAGACGGACAAAGTCTAGTAGAATATAATTCATTGAATTTTGTTTATTTACACAGATATAATTGCCCAACCAACTATCTATAAGTAAAACTAGTATCCAAAATCTCCTAACACCGCCTCCTATACCGAACAATCAAAGAACAATAATGTAAAGCCACCACATAATAAAATAGGCATTTACACGAACTAAGCATCGTAAATTTATTCGCAATCAGTACAACATGCCTATAAAATTTAATTTCTCCAACAGATGTTCCCGAGACGATGGTTCGACTAGGCACTAATTTAGACCCAACTAATATCAGAGAAGGCTCGGACGTGTACTTTGATTGCATCATCAAAGCCCATCCCTACGTTTATAAAGTCGAGTGGAGACACAACGTAAGTACTGCCGTAATAAAATCCATTACACTTCCTTTTGATCTCATTATACATCTTTTAAAAGGAATTTAAGACGGGGATAACATTAAAAATTAATTGATTTTCATATTTGAATGTTCTCAATAAATAACAGCCGGTCTAATTTAAATAATATTTTCTCGGCCAGGTTTTTTGTTATTGAAATATCACAAGAATTATGTTAATATGTTATTTCTTAGTAATACGCCAAGATGTCGAAATAGAGAGTGCTTTAATTTTTGGCATTATCTTTGTTAGTATAAATGCAAAAAAAATACATAAAATATTTTCTCGTTTTTGTTTGTTTAAATCGTTGCCTTTTGTAAATAACAACAGAAAGCTAATAAAAACTGATTTCACAAGTTGCACAATAAATTTTTTATTAAATAACTATAAAAATATGCAAATATAGCTTAAAACTGAATTTCTTTATTATAATGTCGGTTGAAATACGAACAAAATAAAACACTCCTACAATATCCAGGGTAAAACACTTCACCACAACGTGGGTCAAGGCGTCATAATAAGCAACCAGTCCTTAGTGCTTCAAGGCGTGGGAAGGAAGACAGCCGGTAACTACACTTGCGTCGGTTTCAACGCGGAAGGAGATGGCGAGAGCAAGCCTTTCACTTTAGATGTTTTATGTAAGTTTCTTTTAATATAGATATTTTCATTTGCATTGGTAATCTATATATCTATACAAATTAAAATACAACAGTTTGTCTTGAACATATCAATTACAATTAATACGGTACCAGATTTTCGCTCGTGAGAGGATCTGTCAATGAGCTTCAATAAGTTGTGCCAATCAGATATATGAGATACTGTGCCCCAACTATACGTTTCAATAAATCACTACAAACTATACATTTGCATACGTTTAACGCGAGAGGCGATAAAAGTATAAACCGTCCTTGTCGGTTGTTTGACGTCAGTTTTATGGTCGACTTTTATTTTATATGTGAAAGATAAGAATTCTCGGTTTCCTTGCTTTGGGGCTTGAGATGGGAAATGGTTAAACAGGAAAAGATATGTTACATACTCAAATTAATTGAAATACTCGTATGTATTTAAATGAAGGTAGATCTATTTACGCAGTAAATTCAACGTTTTAACATTAAGTACTTGTTACTGATATGTATGTATAATGTTTATTTACTTATTAGGCACATACCTAAAATGTTGAATAATTGAGTATATTAATAAAGTGATTATTATCAAAAAATATTTATTTATTGCGGATAATTGTTTCTGCTTAGATACAGTATATACTTATGTTTCGAAATATTTTAAATCTATAACAATCACTGACAATGGGAAAGAAAATAACGTTACAGATTTTCAATTTTTAAATTAGTTATAACAAGTAGAAATGGTTTTATTATAATTATTACAATTAAAAAGAAAAAACATCTGTGAAATATACCGAGAAGATAGTATCGGGTTAAAAATGTCAAATTTTCGCGTCAATCTAGCAAAGCTTATATTATCATTCCATAGGTTACTTGGAAGAGATCTCTTTCCTAGATAAGTCCACCTTTTTCATATTGGTATCTGTATTATTTGTATAGCAATGTTAATGTGGAATACATACTTAATATTATTAATGCGAAAGTAACTCTATCTATGTCTGTCTGTCTGTTATCTTTTCACGCTTAATCCGCTCAACCGATTTAGATGAAATTTGGTATGGAGATAGTTTGAGACCTTGTGAAAGACATAGGATAGTTTTTAACCCGGAAATCATTTCTTAAGGGATCAAAAAGGGGGGGCGGAATTTTGTATGGGGAATCAATAATTTCTCAAGTAAGCTATATAATATTTTTATTTTTTAAACTTACCTACTTTTCTATAACTATGTATATCTATTATTCCATACTAACCGTTAAAACTAACCTGGAGATTGACCCGAGCGAAGCAAGGGTGAGTCGCTTGTAAAGAATACAATTTAATAAGTATTATAATAATGGTAAATTTACATGCAGACGCCCCAACGTGTCGCAGCTCGCAACAAAGGGTGCACGGCGTCGCAAAGCAAGAGCGCGCGCACATCACGTGCCAAGTGGACGCCAACCCGCCTGAAGTCAGTGTAAGTATTCGTAGCTATTGTACAGCGTGTTTACATTACGTTGCTTTTGACCGACTTTTAAAAAGAGGTGGTTCTCAATGTATCTATATTGTTTGTGGGTAGGTGTTATACAGTTTTGACATCTGTCAATTGGAATTCTTAATATTTTTTCTTAACTGCCATTGAAACCATTGAAAACAAAATTGAGCCGATTTTTTATGAATATTATGATATATATTTCTATCATAATATTCATAAAATATGAGATATGACTTTATAAGGGATTTTGAAATTGCTGTACCTATTTTTAAAAAGATGTACCTTTTTTCTATAAAACAATGTTATTGTAAATAGGTTTCGCTTACTCGTTGACTTGTGTGTTACTAATACAAAACTTGCCTTTATATCCTGTTAAAATCATAATATGAATAAATATTAAATACTCATAGATAAAAATATGCAAGGCTCCGATATGTACACTTTACTACGTGGCCATTTTCCGCGGACTTTCACCGATGAGTTGACACACGACGCCAGTTGACAAAAATGGTTTTCTCCGGCTCAGCTAGTTGACAATCTCAGGGTGCGCGAATCAAGCATTTCGCAAACAGAAAGTACATAATTTATTTTAATCGTCCCTATGTTATTCTTACTTACTAAATAGCTAACCTGAAACCCGCTCTGTCCTTTGATTAACTGGGTCCAAACACCATTCGACTAGAACTCAAAATGTACATCACATATAAATAAACTAGAAACAATACAGTACCAACTGCGTCAAAGAAAACAACAGTTTTCTTTGAGATGCAAAATTTTTAGCTCGTATTTTTGTTGGACGTTTTAAATTTAACATAACGATGTTACACGACTTATTTCCACCGACCATGCTATGTTTTCTTACGTCAGTCCCAACTTTTCTACCATCAGCTACTTTCTTTGTTTCTTGGCAACTTCATATTGCAAAACTTATAAATGAATTATGAATTTATGCGGAACATCTCTAGATGTACGTACTGAGCTAAATTTCGTTTATTACAAAAGAAATGGAGACTGGCATCCCTCCAGAAATCGTATTACTGACTTCATAAATTTTGCACTGAATCGTGTACAGTTTACCCGTTTAGAACAACAATAACAGCATTAGTGTCTTCACCTATCTACAATCTACGTGTAATGTACATATAATTTAATAAATAAAAATATATGAATTGCATCTGAATGAGAAATATTTATAGTTTTTGTATTTTTTAATACTATTGGATTTTATGAACGTAATATTAGTAGTGTTATCAATAATGCTAGCCATCTGTCTTTGTAATCTCTTGGAAAATCTACAATTTCATGATAATCACATGATTTATATTGGGATTAAAATTACTCTATGTGCATCCTGGTTCATATACTCTCTCTCTCTCTCTCTTTCTCTCCCCCCTGCCCCTCTACTTCCACCTCTCCACTTCTTCCTCTCCTCCTCTCGCATTATTCATTATTTAATATGTTGTAATTATGTGTTTAGATGTAGATTATACATACATATATTATTAGTACTTGATTTTTAATGATAATTCAATTTAAAATCTTTTTTCACTCATATTTATGTTATATCTTATATTTTTTTAATTCATGCTATCAATTAAATTCTTACAATTAATTTTTCTAAGTGCAAATATAATTTTTGTATTATATAAAGCATTTTAAAATGGCAAAACATTTATTTCTAAATGTATATTACATATTACATAAGGTTGCAAGAATCATTTATAACGCAGGAGATTTAGTAGCAGGATAGACGTTGCTAACGTCTTATTGCTTTTACCGACGGGATACAGTCGAGCTTAATCATCTGAATATGCAAGAGAATCAGAAATATATTATATGTTAATATACTAATATTTTTTTTATTTATATCTAGAACTAGCGACTCACCCTCGCTTCGCTCGGGTTCATCCCTGGGTACATTTTAATTTCTTTGAGCGGAACCCTAATTCTTTTACTGAAATTACTTTTATTTTGCCTGAGTTACTCCTTATAACATCAACTACTTACCAGTGAAATTCTCGTCAAAGTCGGGTCAGCTGTTTTTGAGATTTGCCGGAACAAACAGACAAACAGACAGACAGATAGACAAAAAATTTAATAATTGTGTCTTTTCTTATAAATACCGTATATATTACATATATGCATTTAGTAAAAAGCTGTTATTTTGACATTACAAACAGACACTTTAATTTTATTTATCTGTATAGATAAAAATCATAAACATATAACACACAAAATTAGATATAAAATGATGCGGTGTCATGATATTAGTTTACAGCATAAACTTTACATTTTATTAAGAAAATATAGTAACAACATAAAAACACAATGAATGTTAACTGTATTATTAGGACATTGAATTTATAGTGTATACTTATTAATATAAATATGGTGGGTCTTTATCACACAGCACCATCTAGTTCCATGGTAAGCTACGAGGCCTGTGTTATGGATACCAGATATTTGATACACTACACCTATGTAACTTTAAATATATACAAATTATAATTATGAACACCCATGACTGGAGTACAAACATTCGTGCTCATCACACAAAGGAATGCTCACAGCGAGACTTTAACCTGCGACCGCTGGCATAGCAAGTAGAGTCACTACAAACTGAGCCGAACGTGTCATCAAAAATAAAGCAGAAGTGTTTCTCTATGGTGTCCAAATGAACAACCCCATATTGACCTCGAATCATGGCTATTTACACGGCATCAAAGCCGAAACAACTATTATAAATAGTATTATTGTATCTTTGCTCATTTGTTTGTTAATTTTCGAAACAGAATTTAATGGAATTATTTTCTAACAGTTAGTTTTTATAAATGAAACACGCAAATGGGACAGCAGATGAAAAATAAAATACTATTTTAAAGTACTGCAGATGATCTCTCCATTTTGTAGATGATATATTTTAGTATTAACGTATTATGATTCTCGTCAATCAAAAAAAATGTCCTTAAATTTCAACAATTTCGTCCTAAGTTTTGATGAAAATAATATGAATTGGGAGTTGACAGCAAAGCTATTTTCAGCCAACTTCCAAAAAGAAGAAGATTCAATGTTTGTCTGTATGTATGTTTTTTTAATTTAAATTACGTTTATAAAGTGCTAGTAAGAGTCAAATCAGATGTCATTATTTAATTAATAATTTAATATACTTTTTAATTAAAAATATACTACAGTTCCTACACTGACAAAGTGGCTTTAAAAATAATTGTTATACCAATTTTCTTGAAAGAAGTAAAACTCTAAGGAAAAATCATGACCACAATTGGTCGTGATATCACGTATCATACACAAAAAAATAAACAATCGATTTTCAAAAGTCGCACCTCATTTTTAAAGTCGGTAAAAACATATTTTAAGTTTAAAGAATTCAAATTTTTGATTTGAAAGTGCTTACTTTGTAATATTAAACGCAAAAGTGTATTTTTAATATAAATTTATAGCTTTTGCAAAAAGCTAATAACAATAGATATACGAGTATTTTGGCTGGAATCAATACAAATGATAAAAAGCTGCTTTTGCAGTATTAGGACACTTGTATTATTAATAACCTGACCTGTACTAATAAAACTTACAAACTCTATCCCAAAATAACTTATAAAATCTTAAATTTTAAATTTAACAGTTTCGATGGACGTTCAACAACACAGCAAATAGCAACGAAGTTAGCGATACCTACGTTTCAAGAGCAGGCACCAGTTCCACCGTAACGTACACTCCACATACAGAGATGGACTACGGGACGCTACTCTGCTGGGCGCACAATAGAATCGGGAAACAAAGGGTGCCGTGTGTGTATCATATCATTGCTGCTGGTAAGTTATATTGATGATTACATCGATACAAACATACATACATAAGTCCGTGCTACATAATATATGTATAAGGTCGCAAGAATCATTTATCACATAAGAGGCTTAGAAGAGATCACTAACGTCTTACAGCTTTTGCAAATTGGATAATATATCTTCTGTATTAGAAAACAAATGAATGAATTAATATTAAGTAATAGGAGTTTGACCGATTATATAACACTAGTGACTCACCCTCGCTTCGCTTCGAGTTCATCCATAGACAAAAAAATCTATCCCACGGGAATGGTACTTTTTTCCGGGATAAAAAATCGGTCTTTCGACGGTAATATTAGTAATATATTGTAAAAATTATTTCAGCAATGTCACTTCACATTAAATTCACTGTATGGTAGTAAAATCTCAAATAAAGTATTTGCTTAAAGCACTCGTATAATAACCGTTTCTCTGAAACTTGGCTCGTCTAACATCCGCGAAGTAAACAATGCTATTTGTACATGCACACCAATATTTTGGTTCAATATTGACTACTGCGCAGTTATTTTCGGCGTATTTTAGACCTGCACAGTTATGACACGAATACTGAAACTGCGCGTAAAAGTTTTGATTATTTTCTTTTAGGTAATTAGGAAAAAGGTTGGGTTGACAGAGTCTGGCATTTAAAAAAAAGTATTTCATGTACAGTATAAATTTATAGCTGTGATCCAATTTAGACCAGTTTGGCATTGTCCATACAATAGAGACAGTCTGTGTACTCAAAATAAGTTTATGGCTGTCTTTTTCAATATGAAAAATTTTGGGTGAATTGTGCTCATTTGATTTTTTTTCACTTTCGAAAAACTACCCTGAACTCGACTCAAACGTTTGGTGCTCTCGATCGTCGCTTCTGTATATGAATGGATTAGTCACAGACGGATGATCGTGGACCAATTTCCCGAAGTAATCCGTTCGTGTATAGCGGCTCTAACGAACAGAATCCACTACGCCAAAAGGTCCGACTAACGTAAGGCTAATGTGTGTATTGGCTTAAAATTTTTATTGATATCCATCCACCAGAAACCAAACACGATTTGAACCCGCAGGCAAAATAGTGGAAAAAAGATCGAGTTGTCTATATATCGTATATTTTTTTAAACTAACGTTATAAATGTGAAAGTGAGTATCGATGGATATTATATTTCCCAATACTCTGTTTTTTAGTTATAATGAAAACAGTTTGCTACTTACTATACTTTCGTTTACGTTGCTACAAACTTGTAATTTTAACTCAACATTACAATGCTAGTATTAATCCCTCCACGACCGCGGACACGCCGGCGTTACAGTTAACAATCGATTTCTTAAAATTTAATTAATTTCTTAGAAATTTACCTGGAGGTGTTAGTTACTGTGGATATTTTGATCTAGATTTTTATAGTGACTATAATAGTTGTACATTAGTTCTAAGTCTTACCTGTAGGGAACCTAGCGACCACCAATCCTTAAACCTGAGCGAATCAAGTATACATTACTATAAACTAAGTACACATTATAATAAACATTTGTTTACTCTAATTGCTGTACGAAAACTTATTGAACGTATTAGTAGTATAATATTTCAATCATCATAAAACAACATCCAAAGCATTCTTCGTAGATAAATGGCAAAAGTGTGTGATAAATGTATTCTTCTCATTAGGTATGCCATATTTTCTCTTGATTTAATGTTAATGGTTCGATCTTGTGCCAAGTTTGTCTCCCCCAAAGGAATTGTTCTCATTTCTAATACATTACGAAATATTGACACAGTCAAGTATATCGAGTCGAGGTTTTTTATAACAAATTATCGTTTTTTTTCTAAATTTTGTTATTATAAGCGAAGATTTGACTCATAATAAACTAGTTTTTCCTTGCGGTCCCGCTCGCATTGGAGTGGCAGGCGTGTAAATAGCCGTGCCCTCTTTGCGGTGTGGGAACAAAAATTACGGTCCAGCGCGTGGAGACGCGTGGACCCAACACTGTCCTTAGAATATCTTTAAAAACGTATCTGGCGGCTGATGTAATAGCTTACAACTATGCGGGATAAAAGCAAGTCGCTTACCTGGTGCAGCTCGCTGATCTTCTTGGTGGCCACCTCACTAGCACTTTACCGTGGATGAGTATGCGTAAGTTAATAGGTAATAATATAATAGGAGTCGGGAGAAGACAAGTACAGGTCCCGCCGTGTCAAAGCAGGCCTTATATACGATATGAGCCGCGTGTGTTGGTAAACGCGCCAATCAGAATTCGGCCGAGTGGCGCCGCCTGCAGGATTGCGACTGCAACCCGCAAGTCGAATGCTATAGATCATCCTTACCAAAAAACGTTAAAAAAAGACAATTCAAGGCTAGTGCTTGCCACACCACGCATGACAATCAAAAGTTTATGTCCTTCCTCATGATGGAATCTGTGATCAAATAAGAAAAAAACAAATTGTGTCAAATTATTGTCGTCCACAGGCCTTTGAAGTAATGTATGCATGAAAGGAATGGAGTGCACTTGTGTTTGTCCACACACTTTCGTATATCTTCTAATTGCAGATAACTAATCTCAGATTAGAAAAAAATTACAAGCCACTTATTTTTTGTAGGCCGACCAGATCAAGTGCACAACTGCACAGTGGTAAATGCTTCCCTCACGTCGTTCGGAGTTCGATGTTCAGAGGGTTTTAATGGAGGCATGCCTCAATCATTCTTGTTAGAAGTCAGAGAAATAGTAACACAGGTAAGTAAAATGTATCATTAGAAAGTTATAATAATTTGGCCCTCTTTAATGTGCCACTATTGGACACGACTTTCGGTAAAAGAGGAATATGATGGGTTATAATCCACCACACTGGCTAAATTACTTAGAGTAGATTAAGTGGACTTCACACGTCTTTTGAGGAATACTTAAATTCTCTCAATAGTTACACAAGCACGGCTGGCTCTATAAAATTTAATTCACATATTTCATAATAGAAAGTAATAACTTATGAGAACTCGCTTGTTGGTTTAGAAGTTTGAACTCGCTTGATTTTATATTTTAGCACTACTTACTACCAATACACTAGTAATATATTTATTATGGGATTTATTGTAATTTAACAGGAAATAGTCGCGAACGTCTCAAGTGCAGTGCCACGATTCACAGCCGTGGGTTTGGTTCCGGGAAGAACGTACGCGGCCGCGGTGTTAGCGTATAACGCGAAAGGCAGAGGCGACCCGTATCCATTACGAGCTAGCACACTACGACCTCCTGAAAAACATCACGTACATGATAAAAGCTTAGGTAAATATTGTATTTGGAAATTTACGTTCTTCGATTTTACCACATAACATCTGTAATTTAAGTGGATTGTAAGTAAGAATGAAATTAAGCATAACAAATTTTTTGATGTTCTTTTAAAGAATGAAAGAAATACTGTACGTAATTTAAAAAAAAAGCACTATTACAAAGCAAAAAATTCTGTCTAGATTTTATTATCACTTTTTATCAATAACATAAAATAGTTTCTGAATTCTATTTCAGTTTTAAAAGCTCTTCTTTAAAATTGATCAAATCTCTATAGTATACGGCATCCACAGAAACAAATATCATACCAATTTTCCCTATATCCCCTATGTACCTAAGCTTATTCTGGACTTGGGAAAAACAAACAACGATCCCAGACTTAGCGTTGATTAGACGAGTTGTATGCTTATTTAAAAAAAATGCGTTTTAACCAAAAATGCAGTTTAAACTCAGTAATATTATTTTTATTTATAAAATTTGTGCCATAAGAAAAATATTATATAAACTTAGCTATATTTCACCCAGATTTACCAAGAACTGCATTCCAAATGTCGGGGGCGATGTCAGCAGCAGTAGGTGGTGGAGGGGTCCTTATGGTCGCCCTCGTTCTCTTCATGATAGCAGTAAGACAAAGATGCGCTAAGAGGAAGCCAAGATCTGGACCACCACCATCCCAACCAGCTTCACCAGATAAGCTGAGAGAAAAGGATGATAGTGAAAGTGATGATAGAAACCCGGATATAATACCGTCAGACACGGATCATAATATGCAGGTTTGTTCTTGTTTGTTTTTATTTTTAATCCTCCAATGAAAAAATAGGGGTTGTTATGAATTTGACTCTCAAATCTAGTTGTAGGATTGTAACATTCAAATGGATCAATATATTTATAGCAGTATCTATCTATAGGTGACTAAGTAAATGAAACAAATAGCTTAAAATTAAGTCATGGACGTATTCAGGAGCGAATAATTATATATTATTTTTATTTATTTAGTGGTTTTTTTAAATGTTTGTTTTATTGTTTAAAGTTTTATTTGATTGTGCTGTTTAATTTCATATAGTACATATTTTAAATAGGAACATTACACATTTATTTGATTAAAATGTAACTCATCGTGAGTTCCATTTTAATGGAAATTACAGAGTTTTGTTTCCAAATACTTTTGCTGCTAATTAATATCCATGCATGTTATATGACATTATAAACTGATTTTTCATTAAAGTTATTAATATATTCAAAGCATTTTTATTTATTTTACGCAATGGCTCGTATTATACAAATATTTTGTAAGGGAAATATTAACTCATTCTTATTTCTATTTTGACATAATTTCGAAACCGGCTTGAACATATTTGATTATTCCCGATCACAGCTAGATTGAGACGATATGCTTCAGTAATTTAATACGCTTGTTAGCTCAGTTAATAATGTCTTTTATCACAAATACAAAACATCCTAATAAGCAATTAGTCTACTTCTACAGTAGACGAATAAATAAATGAATAAATAAATAAATAAATAAAAACGTTGGGACATTAACACACAGCATCATCTAGTTCCATGGTAAGCTACGAGGCTTGTGTTATGGATGCCAGATAGTTGGTACACTACACATATATAACTTTTCAATCTATACATATTATAAATATGAACCCATGATTGGAATAGAAACATTCTTGCTCATACAAATGAATTCCCCCGGCGGGACTCGAACCCTCAACCACTGTCACAGCAAGTAGGGTTATTACAAACTGAACCAAACAAACCAAATCAGCCAAAATATGATCAAAAATTTTAGTATTAAGAATCGCCCCTTTTACAGTTTAAAAACTATAGTTATTGTTATATTGTAATATTATGTTTGATGAAACAGTTATGAAGAAAGTAAGATTTTTTTACTGATGTTATTTTATAATTGCAAGGTAATTGTTGAAAATCTCACTTCAGAATAAACAAGACAGCATTTTTTATCTCGTACAAAAACTATATTTACGATTGTTAAAAAAAGAAACAAAAAGCAAGAAATAACGGCACGAATTTTTTATTTACAAAATGTACCTAATCAGATATTTTTGAAATCAGGGCAAACGAGATATATTTAGATATTATATGAATAAACATTGATTATGTCACAAATTGATGTATGTATAATATTTTGATTATAATTAAGGTAAGCCTTGTATTCATATCCTAATGGTGGGTTTGTTTTTGTTTGCTGAAATAACTTATCAAAAATAAATGAAATATGTTGTTGGGACATTAACACACAATACCACCTAGTTCCATGGTAAGTTACGAGGCTTGTGTTATGGATACCAGATAGTTTACACATATATAACTTTAAATACATACATATTATAAATATAAACACCCATGTCTGTTGTACAAACATTCGTACTCATCACACAAATATGCCTCCAACGGGACTCGAACCCTCGAGTAGGGTTACTACAAACTGAGCCACACATGTCGTCATATAATAATATATATTTCTATATACACTCGTAGATAACGCTACTACAAGAAACGGGTCTTGCTCACCAGATGGACTACTTCAGACAACAGCAAGTGTCGACCATCTCGCCGCCCAACAGCCGCGGGCCTCGTGGCAGTATCGCGGGCGTGCGCGGGAGCATACCCGGCTACTGTCCCTTGAGGACCGCCCCGCCCTCACATCCGCCTTTACATGATAATAATGTAAGTATTACTATTTTTGCTTTTAAATAAGGTTTTCTTTTTCACCAGAGTGGACTTTTTTTTTAACGTTGGGAAATGCATTTACACACGAGGTGTGGGACTCACCGGCGTAATAAAGCCAGTACTACCCACTAAAACCCAACAAAACCTTCTCCCGTCTTAACGGGGCGTCGCAGGATCGCTTACGCATTCAACTACGACGCCCCGACGGCAGGTCTGCCGAAGCAGACCACCACAACCATGGGGTTGCTCCAAGGTCCACTCTGCTATCAGAAAACTACCAGGAGCAACCCACATGGTACACCGCCCACCGAAGAGGGCCACCTCCCACCGCCCACCGAAGTGGGCCACCTCCCTGTGCGTTTCTTGGCTTCGCGCCCGGTTGGGTTGCCGGGCACTACTGAGCCCCTCCACCACGACGTTGGGAGGGAACCCAGAGTGGACTAGGTTAGCCAAAGACGAGGGTATGAAAGCCTTTAGAGGCCTTTGTCGAAGAACAAGCTGTTGATGCGAAATATACCCGATCGTCTATGTGAAAAGATGATGTGATGTTCTCCCGACCGTTTCCGGCCACGGCGGCCAATCTCATTGAGACTAGCCAACTGCGCAGGAGATATTATAGTGCACAAGTGTACGCGCAGACACAAGTGCACTCTCTATTCCTGTCACTCTCATATTCTGGTGGGACGACCACTCGACACGACCAGTGAGAGTTAAGGCGCAGGACCGACGGCTTTACGTGCTCTCCGAGGCACGGGGGTGAAACACCGCCAACTTCCCAACTCCGGGCTGTTACTGAGGCTTTACAGAAAGACTCAATAACTAAATTTGGCCCGACCCGGGACTCGAACCCAGGACCTCCGGGTGTGCAGCCGTACTTGCTAGCCACGACACCACCGAGGCAGTTAAATGTGAAAAGATATAATGATTTAAACGTAAAATCGGTGGAGAACTTAATTATATTGTATGAATATTGTTAAACTGCAGTACATGCTTATTTTATTTATATTTAAGATTTTCTTTTCAGATATTTTTGCGGATTTGTTTTAGTTTTTGGGTTATGTTTCAAATGTTTAATAGCAAACAGCAATACGACAAAGTCGCTGGCAAAAGCTAGTATGGAAAGTAGCAGCTAAATTAAAAAAAGTGATTGGTAATTAAAAATGTTTGACGATCTCTGCTATAGTTTATCATTATTTCTTTACCAGGTCTACTTCCGATACGTCAAATATCCACATTACATTGAGCCTACAAACTCCTCCTGGCCATCTTCAGATGCAGTCATTGTATAAAAGGATTTGATTTGTGTGAAATATCGTTTTCTTTAGTATAAGTTTGAAGTCTAGCTTTTAGGGTTCCGTCACAAGATGGTAAAAATATAAATATAACATAAATTTTGATAGCTTATCAGTACGTTGTATACAAACTATTCTATTTCTTCTATTCTATATTCCCCATGCAAACTATCATCCCCCATAAGGGATGATTTCCGGGATAAATACTATCTTATGTCCTTCCCAAGGTCTCAAACTATCTTACATAATTTCATCTAAATCGGTCCAGAAATTTCGGAGCTTATTCAGTACAAACAAACAAAAAAATCTTAACTCTTTATGATATTATTATAGATTATAAATATAAAAGCTTTGCCTGCGGCGTAATAATTATGTTTCTAAAAGAAATGTAATCGAATATCGCCCACACTTTTACTCATATAATCACTGGATATATATCTATAGCTTTAAAAGTACGTACTTATGTACATTTTAAGAAAATATAAGTTATCAGTATTATATTATTCTTAGTAAAAAAGCATGGTTTGGCAAGTAAAATACCATAGAATTATCTATATAGTTAAATATTATTACCCTATTTTGCACTTTAGCCACCATCACTTCGATATTTACGAGTAACTCGTGTGGTTTTAAGCACAACAACTAGGTTTAGCAAAAAGCACTATTGTGGGGTGAAATTATATGAACATATTATATACTGTAGGTGTAGTGATGAGGATATTAAGATATTTGAATTTTAAAATGAAATATTTAGTCAACCGAGCTTCTCAAATATATAAAAATTGCGTTTATTCACAAAAAAATAAATATGTATAAACTTAAAAAGGTTAAACTATATCTAAATTCAAGATTTGATCCAAATCGTTACACCCATTTCCGAGATACGCGAAATAAATTTATATATATACAAGAATTGCTCTTGTAATATTATAAGATTCGTCAATATGAAATTTCTTACGAATAACGTACTGGTCTCTATAAAGTTCAACATATTGGTCTCTATAAACTTTTCATTTACGTATACTGTCGATATTTTGAAACTAGTTTCCTCGTTATAAAGTTTATTGGATATATATATACAAAATTAACAGAAAATAATAATATTAGAAATTACTTCAATTCTTTACGTATGTTCGAATATTAAAAAAATGGTGATTATTTTGATTGTAAATGAAAAATGTGCCCAAGAATTTTATACACACAAAAAATATACACTCAAATGAAGCACCTCTTTTTTACGAGTAAGTCAGTAAAAATAGCACTATTTAATTAATAAAAACAAACGGCGGAAATACAGCAATAAAGTCACAATTATTTCTCCGCAAAGTTTCTTAATCCAGACTGCGCGAATAGGGAGTTAAGTCAAATTTAACTAAATATTTGGATTTCATAGTCGGATCTCATGCAAATTATGATATGGTAATTGCTATATTCGTATTTAACACTATCTCATACATTGTTATTACACATAATATAAATATTGTACTGTATTACATTTAATACATGAACTGAAATGAATGTAGGTAGGGATAACGCTCATCTTAAGCGCGAGTTCGATTTTCATCTGAGACACAACTATTTTGTCCAAATAAAATCTTTTAGAGCGTATCCATATTATTAGGTATATTAACATTCAAATAAAAAATAATATATAATATTTACATAGTATTATCAGCATTTGTGTACCAAATTTTAATTTTAGCAATATTTATTTAATCACTAGCTGTAGCATTGCTTGATATCATATATTTATGTATGTATGTATGTTCGTAGACACAAACACCGGGTATACCACCGCCGGCGGGGTTCGCGGGCTCTTGCACGCTGCCTCGCAATACTGGGAGCGAACGTTGCATCCCCATGCAACACTTGCGCACCCTCCCGCGCACCCACCCCCACCCCCACGCACACCCCCACCCCCCAAGAGACACGCCGCTCTGACAGACCACGCAGCTCTAGGATATGTAAATAGCTAAGGTGAGTTTCGGCGATTTGTGATTAAAATGTTGTTTCGGTTGTAACCATTTTTGATTTTTCTTTTGTATGGTTGTGGTTTGATTTCGGTTGTTGTTAATTTTTAATTTTTTGAAATTATATATTTGAGCTTTAAGTTATTAAAATAATAATATTTATAGTCGTATGTTGAATGTTTTAAATTAAAAATATTTTCAGTCTATTTTGATTTATTTGTGTGAAAGATTTTGCTTGGGATCATTTTATTTACTTTACCAAAGGGATACAGAATTCTCGTAACAAAAACAATGTCTGAAATTGCCGAAACTGTTTTACCTAATTTTAATTATCTAAATAGTTAGGACGAACGAAATATTGGACTTTGTTACGGTTTGTTTGTAAATTTATTGTAAATATCATCAATAATATTCCACGAAGATAATCTAGATTAAAATACTTTTGTTTTTATGTATATAATTTTGTTTATTTATATGTACTCTAGATGAAAATATTTGGATGTTTACTTATAATAAATAATAAACATCTAGACGATTAATTGTTTTTGTTTAAATTCTATGATCGAAATGTTATTTCTAATTTAATTTGCAAATTATTTTAAATGGTTGTGAAATTTATAAGTCGTGTATAAATTGTATAATCATCTGATAACACATTTTTTTATTCTAATTATGATTAGATTTAAACTTACGGTTAATTATTAATAAATGACAGTTTGTTAAAAGTATGTTAAAAGGGAAGTCAAATTATTGGAATGGAATGAAATGACGTTTCAAGAAGTTGTCCCATCAATTTGTACAGTCGAAGACGAAATAATAATAATCATAATCACTAAATTGTGATACGTTTGACTTATTAATAAATATAGATGTCTCAATGGCTATGTTCATTTTTCGTATCAAATGATAAGTTTTTTGCTCTTGATAGTACTTTTTCTAGTATTGCTTATTTTCATAAATGAATATAAGTTGAGACAGCTATAACATTAGTTTGTAAAATTTGTCCGTTATGGAAGACTTTGTAAATACGACGTTAATATTGTAAAGTTTTTGTATGATACGATTTGATATTTGTCTTCAGATGTCAAATGTTAAAAATCGATTAAGTTTTCCAAAACAACATTAAATTAATGTAGTCTATCAAATATGAAGTTGGGGCTTTGATAAGATGTCATTTCACAATCGTTGAAGAATAGAAATCTAAAAATATATGTAAACATAAACATAAAGTATAGTATATTATTACAATACGAGTATGTATATGTTTAAAGTTATATATTATGTGCAGTGCATCAACTATCTGGTATCTATAACACAAGCGTCGAGCTTACCATGGAACTAGATGGTGCTGTGTGTTAATGACCCAACATATTTATTTTATTTATTTATTATTATGATTCTATGGCATAGCAGTTCTTGTCATTTCAATACAATTTTTAAAATATCTATTCTTCTCAAACGATTGTAGAAATTGCTTATTTAAGGCGCTTATTTCACGTTACGTTACTTATGATTTGATACATAAATCATCGAAAGTTGTTTATCAATCGTAGGCAAATTTTTAAACATAATTTAAATAGATATTTAATATCTTATACTTATGTTAGTAGGTAATTAATTTGTTATAAATAATTATCATATTTATAGAATTTAATTCATTATGTTTGTTAATAAATAATTGTAAATAGTTTGAACGAAGTCTTTCTAACTGTCGGAATGTCGGTTTTCAATAAAATATTGAGAAACGAAAATAAACGAAAAATATTCTAAAACGTTCTTGTGATGTTTTATTTGAATCCTTTGTTATTAACCTGTTTGCTAATAATTTATTACAATCTATACATATAATAAAAATCTGTACATTAAATATTTTTTGGAAAATCTTATGGAAATAGTCATTATTATCGATACAGAGGCCGAATCTATGGTTTTTAGAATTTTTGTCTGTCTGTGACCGCATCATGGAAAAAACTACTGGCGGGATTTTGATGAAACTTAGTGTGTTAGCTGATTGTTCGGGTCAACAAATAGAATACATGTTACTGCGGGAAAACACGTCATCTCTGAGAAATCCATACTAAGCGTTCAAACGTAGCTAGCGACGAACCCGCGGCGGAGTGACTTAACGGCACCCGAGCGTGAGCTGCTAGTATCAATATAATAATAATAATTTGACCAATAAAATACATACATGGTAAAGCAATATTACATACAAAAACAAACACACATATATTATGATACAGAACAATCTTAGTGTCTAATCTCAGTTTAACTTATTTTAGGCAGTTGTCGAAACAAAAGATATGGTAGCCTCTGTTACCGTACTAGTAGACCTATAATATAAATTCTAAATATACTAAATAATACTATAATCTTATTAATTCATACATAAGTAGAGACAACTTCAGGATAAAAGTAAGTAATACCTATTCCCTAAAAATTAAGACTTCATCAATTCGAAGAGAAAATGACATAGCCTTTATCAGAATGAAGTGATATTGCGAATTTTTATTTCAATTAAAGTGCCTCAGTATCCATATTCATTGCTGAATCTTTTATAGGAAGCTTTTTACGTTAAAAACGTAACTAATGACGAACCTTAGCAGAGCGAGGGGGAGTCGCTAGTTTAAAAATATAACTCAAACATTAAGTAAAATACAAGTGAATCCAAGTAAAATTCATCCAAATCCAAAAACCTGTTCTAACATTAATATCCGAGCCGCACGAGCCCAAACTAAGCCGGGGATAACCGTTTTTTGTTCCACACATCTTCTAAACCAGAGTAATCCCCCAGTAAGGTATTCCGTGAGATTTTTTCAATATGGCTCAGGTAATGCATGCGGTTTTTCGGTTTTTTAGCTTCTGAGGCTGTAATGGATGGATTCAGACTTTCAGAACGGGTATCTTGATGTATTGCGGATTTTTGATCATTATATTTGATATTTCTTTTGATGAGATTGAATGGTTTTTTTTATCAATATACTCGAATATGAAATTAATATATTCGAGAGATAGGTCTATGGGTAAATTAAATAACAATATTCCATAGATGAAAGGTATTATATTTTGTATTGCAAAAATGGACAGGAAAGGTGAAACGAAACTATATTTTACTAATAAAAATAATATTTCAGTTATTTATATTTAGTTTAATGTTAAAAATATGAGTTCGTTTTTTTTACATACTAATTTCTAGAACCAAATTTATTTTAGTAGAATTTAAGCTTTCAGCCTTTTATCTTAGGAAGAGAAATGGTTCCTGCGGAATATGACGTACAAACTAAAGGGGTTTTTGGTACACGATATTGTCAACACGTAAGCGACGTACATTAAAACATGAAAAACATATACTTAGCATATCGCAGCATTGAAAAAAATTAAAGTTAATAAGTTGGTACCTCTTACTTTTTGAAATTAGTCAAAAGTATTTCATCAGAACATACCATTCTCACATGAAATACTTGCGAAAAAAACGTGCTGTGTACTATTTTATCTGACCATAAAAAATACAACATAATATTTTTACACAGCACTAGCAACAAACTCGTATAAGAAAAAAAACCAGCAAAATTATCTGGTCATAGTTTCAAGGATTTTATTCATTAACATAAATTAAACAGAGATGGCCAGTTACAAACAATTCGTACTTTCTACTTAGACCGTTCAAAGTTGTGAAGTAAGTTTGCAGCATTTGGCTTAAAGCATTGCTGAAAATGAACCGAAAGTTGGCTAACGATTTCTCTTAGGCCGAACTGTCTGTAAGCAATTACTTAATTATTAGTAGTGGAGATACTGTAAATATTGGTTTGAGTTGTTATCAGATTGCTTTATAATGGTTATACTTCGAAGCAAATGTTATTATTATATATTAGCTTAGTATATGACTAATGGCACCAGAGTTGTTCTGTATTCCATATTCATTCAGCCCTTTTTAACATCCCACTGCTGGACATTTGCCTCCCTTCAGTATGAGGGGGATCAGGCGACTTCACATTCCATCTACTAAACATTATAAAAATGTTAGTCCTGTCATTACAGTGTAAGGGAGTAACATACGTACACACAGATTCAAACATTCGTATTTATAATTTATTTGTGATTTTATCCACCTTTGACAGCAAAGGTATCTGATTTTTAGGACAATGAGCAAATAAATAAATAAAAAACAAATTCTATAAGTAGGCATACATTTTTTCTTTTTATAGATATAGCTATTGTTAAGCTTAAAACGGTTTGAAAGATTTCACTTGAAGATTTATTTGGTAGATTTATCAGATCAAATGTGTATTATATTTCATTCGGGATACAAATATATTTCAAAACTAGTAATTCACCCTCGTTTCGCTCGGGTTTGTCTTTAGTTACGTTTTAAAGTTTAGAATAGATTTTAAAAGAGTATATATTTTCCCGCAGCTAGCATAGCAAATTTCATTAAAATCTGATCTTGATTCTTCTTATAGATTCGGCCTCTACATCAATAATAATGACTATTTCAATAATATTTTCCAAAACATATTTAATGTAAAGATTCGACTCAGAATTTTATTATATGTCTAGATCAAGACAACATATATACATGAGTACTCATGTGATGTAAGTATATTACCAGCAATTAAAAAAAAGTTAAAGTAATAAAAAATACAAATGTTTTTTTTTTATCTTTTTATTGTAAAAAAATTAAAATTTAAGACCAAAACGTTACATGAAAAAGCTAATTTCGTAACATTTAAAAAATATTTTCACATATGAGGAAAGCTGTGCTTAGTACAGTATCCTTCTATTAACACAATGCCCACGCCACGGTGGTTCAGGAGCCAAAATTTACGAGCATACGCCGACACCTTTTAGCTTCCCTCTCATTAACAACTTTGCTTTATATACCTTCGGCAGTGCCAAAATAGCAGTATTTCTGATATTTATACGAACTTTATTCATGCTTTAAATTTTTTGAACTTTTTTATTTATAAAACCAGCGACTCACCCTCGCTGCGTTCGTGTTCATC